TTCTTGTTCCCAGAAATTATATTCATTTATACAAGATATTCATTTATACAGTATACATTTAGACAGGATCGACTGTATTAGTTAAATAGCAAAGTAAGAATATAGCCTATAAGTCGATATGTAAACATTTAAATATATTTTATATTCGAAGATCGTTATATATTCGCCGCAATTTACAGTATCTCTCAAGGTACCCCGAGAAGGTCCATGAAAATTTTATGTTTAAAAGGTTTTTTTTCAAAGAGATTCGGATGTTTTTTAAATAAAAACTGTTTCGTGTTATAATGAGAAAGAATTTTATGCATGATAAATTTATAGTAGATACGCAGCCCTGCATAATCATTTTATAACTTAAATAGTGGAGAATTAAACTTTAATTATGCATTCACCTATTTTCATTGTGATTTGAGATAAACTAAAATTTTCTGAACATAAACTAAAATCTTCGAAAATGATTCTTTATTAAAACAATTTCGGATTTAACCAGTTAACTATGTGAGACAATGGATCTATAAACGATTAATCAATTAAACGTGTAATTATATAATAATGTAAGAATTATACTTCGAAAAGAAGTATACTGTAAATGAAGTGACTCGCCAACATATGACGTGAACAATCTTGTTATTTTTGATTTCATAAATACTTCTCAAGATAAAAAATTATCGAAGAACACTCAATTATCACTGCTTTATTCGGTATTGGTCGTCTAGACCATAATACTCGATCATGAAACTTCAAACCTCCAATCAAATACCTCGATGGGTCAATAATATATGCCCATTCCTTTGTATATAGCATATTAATGTACAGAGATCAATGGCATTCCAGTAATATAAAACTTATCGAATTCTTTTTCTATGAGATTAGTAAAACTCTTTATTTAGTCATACTGTATGTCACTTTGGCGAAGACTAGGTTGGATTACGATGCGCGGAACATCAACGATCACCTTTTGAGGGAAATGATGCTCACCTACAACTCCACAAGGCTGCTTCATATAAGAATTGGGTTTGTACTGTATAATTTGTTTACATTGAATTTCAACAACTGGATTAAAGTATTTTTAAAAATATTTGTTCTGTTTATGGTTACCTATAAAATCCAAAATATATCACCGTTTTAATTTGATGTAAATATAAAAAAGAAAAAAAATTTTTTGGGGGATCTGCGAAGATTTACTTTATCACATACTGTATTTGATTGCTTGCAAAAAATGTATTCCAAAGATTCCACACCGAGGATACTTATAATCTCTAGATTTCAATATTGGAATCTTCAGATTTCCGAAAGACTACATTTCTCTCAACGGGAAGTACGGAAAAACTTTACTCACACCCATTCGTCAAAGAAACAAGATATATCTTAATAAATCTGGCAACGGAAATTGCAGAAAACTCCAAAAATATTGGATTGTTGGATAATATTCTCAGAATTTACTCAAATGACGAAAATATTTTTACCGACTTCGTCAATTCAGCTGTTGGAGATCAAGCTGAACTCATGATGATGAATAATAAACTGAATACACATCACAAGTGTGCCACCTACGCTACGAAATTTTCTCAACTTTAAAAATTTTACACGAAATTTTGTTCCTGCAAACAGATAACCGACCATCAGAAATACATAATTGATCTGAATAATCGAAAAGAGGTGATAAATAATATCAGAATTAAAATTTTATGTTCCGATGATCATTGGGGAATGCATATTGAAGCAATTTCGGCCGCGGATATGTCTTTCAAATTTTTTGAATCAAGAACGTTTGAAAACATTTATAGGCTTACCTTGAAATCATTAACAAGAGAATTAAAATTTTAAAATATTGCCAAAGAAATTAACAGAAATCAATTAACGATTATACTAAAGCATGCCAAAATACAAGATTGAAAAAAAATTTAATGTCACGAAGTCAAATATTTCTGGAATGAAATAAATCCCGAGCACGTTGATATGAATTGGAATTTTTACTTTCCAATTGCAACATTATCAAAGGTACTGATTGTAAAAAAAAAACTTTCCAATACAATTGGGCATTTAGTGAATATCATTGTGCGGAGTATTCGACTGGAACAATTATAATTGAGATGCTGAAAATTTTCGAATCTTCTGTGGTTCATTGTAACAGGGAGAAATGGGACGCGACTTCAGTCACGTGACCGATGGTTCGATAATGGTGAGTCGGCTGAATAATTAAGAACTGTTAAATAGAATTATGTAATCTAGCTTTAGTCATGTCATTGTATTATCAATTATTATTCTATGTCCAAGCCGCCATAACCAAATGTAAAAGAAGAAAGTATAAATGACATGTACAAGTCTAAAGATAGAGAGGAGAGAAGAAAAGTAATAAAGGCTTGGTCAAATAAAACACGCCTCAAATAATCGTTTGGTTCCCTTACCTGACGACGGTTACGCAAATCTCTGCTAAGATCAGCGACAGACTCGACATTACACCGTTCACCGTTACACCATAAATTATTCACGCTCGAGATCAATTTGGCAAATCAAACTTAAAAAATATATTTATTAGTCACTATGAGATATTTCCTTCTATCTGGTTTAGCGACAGTATATCAATATCCTATCCTATACATTCAGGGTATGTCGCCTTCATGTTCTATTCTTATCTACAGTATATTTACCTATCAAACATATTTCATTAAACTATGATGTGTTGTGTTCGTAACTGTCTCTAATTTTCTCTGATAGTGCGGGGTTTACGCAGTCAATTCTCAATGCCGAGTTTACTGACTCTCCTAAACCATGGTGATGCCATTCTCGAACTTCAATGGTGTGGGGCTTACACAGCCATCTTCTACTTAAATTTAACGGTGTGGGTTTACACAGATTGTTTCCAATAACCATCTCATTACCTTCATTCAAACATTATGGTGTTTACACAGCTCGTTTCCAATAGCTACCTAATTACTCTCATTCAAACGGTGTGGGATTTACACAACTCGTTTTTAACCACTATCTTACTACCCAAATTTAAATGGTGTGGGTCTGCACAGCTCATTCTCAACAGTACAATACAGCAATGTATAGTGTTGAGTAGGCGGGAGGGACAATTCTTGAATAAGCCGGAAAAATAATATTTTCTGGCCACAACAGTAAGAAAGCATATTGTTTACTAGCACATTACATCATTCATTGTGTTGCATGATCTCTCTCGATAATCAAGCTCTCGTGACTTCATCTCGGTCGCTATTAATTCCGGCCAAATGAATTATTGAAAGAGTTAAAAGACGATAATTGATTCTCGAGAAACTAATCCCCAAGTTAAAAAAACTAAAAAATTCTATAGACCACAAGGCATCGAACAACACCTAGAATGCTATGACGGAAATTTTGGCATCTCAGGTCTTCGGTTGGTCATGATTTTAAAAAATTGATTAATGATGTAGATAATTATTCGGATGAAAAATTAATGCAAGCAGACACTATGTCCACTTTTATTCAAATCAAATCAATTTTGAAACCGCTCCTAGATAGAGGGCCGAAGAATTCTTCTAAAAATGCTGTAAATAAATTCTTATTGAAATTTTAAAGGTTACAGGGAGTAACCATTTATTAGCCAACAAAGTAAAGCTCTGCAACTCAAATTACCAGGAATTGAAGAATATGTATGATGTAAGTTATATTATATTCCTTTTGAATTGAAATGTAATCATTAAAAATACAATTAAACTTTCATTTTGTAAGTTATTAGAAACGAAATCAGAAAGTGTTCAAATCAAAATGGAACCAGAAATTAATGAAACAAAGAAAGTCGACGATGGTTACCACAGATAAAATTAACCTCGAATATGCCGTCAAATTGAAATTCCCAACACGGATAGCTTCCGTGCATATTACTTAAACAATCCTGAACACGTTAGAATGTTCCCGTTCTTGGAAATTTTTTTTAAAAAATGAAAATTATTTAAGTTTGGCTTAATTTACTTTTCCAATTGTGAAATTTATTCAACTTTTATCACATATCACTTGGAAAGGTAGAAAGCGCGTCAAATGACTTTCAAAGAATTCATAGCCAAGGAGTGTGACGATCACAACTCTATTTAAATAATTTTCTCGGGTATGGAACAAGTTAATCCCTTATGTCAACAGATATAAATGTCATGATCATTAAAAGTGACGGAAAATCTTTCTGTTGTTTACGGATTAGTCAAACCAGACAATAAATCAACATATATTTGTGCCATCCTAGACTTTTTGGTTCAAATACAGAACGGATTCCTAAAGGATGTTATTGAAGCTCCTTCTGGTAATGCCAATCTCTTAAATTTTTGGAACGATTCACAAGTCAGATATCCTTTCAAATCGATAAAATTAGAGAATGCAAACTAGACATATTGTCACACAAATGCATAATCAAAATTTTAATGTACAGTCAATTGATTTAAGAATATGTCATGGGCAGGAAATTACTTATGATCTAATTAAGATTGAACTAGAGCTTGCTCACTCCTTAGTGTTTGAGAAGGCGCTCCTTGAACCTAATGAACAAGATATATACTTAGAACAATTCTCGTATCATAAAGAATTTCCAGGGTTCGATGACTGTATTGAATGAAACCAAAAAGTTTGTTGTTCAGGAAAGTATTCTTGAAGAAAAGAAATCGCAATTTATTGAAATTCAAATCCTAAAGAATTATTGATCACATTGGAAATGATTATTTTCTTTTTGTAACAAACATTTGGAGGTGATCGTGAGATGCTGATAATTGATTACTGAAAAGAATGAATCTCATGGTTCTAAAAGAAGATAGAGTGAATTATGTATTATTAACAAGATCAGGTTTGCAACTTAAATACATAGTGGCACAATATGAATTAGTTGAAGAACATGTAGCTGATAAAATCGCAACCTGTATTAATTCATAATACAAAGCGAAGAAATTAAAAAGGCTGTCAGTTTTGATAACCAGCAGGAAATCGGAAATAGTAGTAGTAACAATAATGAAAAAATTCTGACAGAAGCATTTGCAACTGCACTGAAGAGATTCATTTTAAGAAACTTGTCTATGGGTGATAGTACAGTATTATTGAAATAAAATTGCTTTCGGCTTACCTTATGCAATATAAAGCGCTTGAATGTTAGCCTGATTCGGTCCAGAAAGAACCATCGAATCCAAGTTCCCAAAATTTCGATGAATTTTTCATACTTTCAATGCCACACTTTTGTTAAGAGCGAACTTTAGGTAAAATTTATATGCATAACTTTCTAACTGTCCATATAAATTCGAATGGTTGATAGATTTACGGTACTATTTACCGATATCCGTTAGAAACTCCAGTCTAAAAAACGACGTCAAGCAGAACCAAAGCTCGCTAAAACGAAAGGCAAAAAATAAAAAGAAAAGCGAATTTAATGGCTTGTAGTTTTCCAGACAATCGATTAAATCATGAGTATTAATCTTATGAAATTTAAATTTAAAACACTTCAATTAATATCGTTAAATAATCGTTTTTATTAAAAAAAAGGTTTTCATAAAGTAAAAAAAAATTTTTTTAAAAAAAGTTCTATAATATTCAAGTTTATTTGAGGAATTGCTTATAAATTTGGTAACATTTACTATCTTTTTATGCGTTTTAAATTAGAATGTAGTCTATTTATTTAAAATCAATAATATTACATAAATCATATTGATAATTTATTATTCAAAAATTCATAAGCCACTTCAATACATCTAAATTTTTTAAACGCTTTTTTTAAACATGTAGACCAATGTATTAACGATTTGCCTAAAATATCTGAAAATTTTTACATAATTATCGAATCCTTTATTTTCAATTAAGAAATGAATATTTTGGTGCTTTTAATAACAGCATTCATGTAAAAAAAATAATCAACCCAAAGTCATATATATACAGTATATCCTTTATAGTTTATATTTTGATTCCGTTTTATATTATCATGTTAGCTTTTATAAAAATTGAAAAACTAGAAGTACTTTTTATTCCTATAAATAATCATTTATGATAATAATAAACCGATTATTATTGTAGAAACATCATATATGATATATTGTTAGCATATAAAGGTGTGAAAGGGATAAGGTGCGTACGAGGCGTGGCATCGAGCATGACATGACAATCGAATGCATCACAGTAAGAAAGTAATAACAGTTTAATTGGATTCGCATAGCATAATAACAAATTAACAGAACCATTTCAGGTAATATAAATAGCTATATAATTAGATTATAAAATAATTATAGAACTGAAAATATATTGTATATATTGTACCTATCATTAACTAGCAACCCATTAATTAGTAAACCTCGTCTTTTTTGTTCAACCCATTAATAATATTATGTTTTGTCAAGCCTATAAATTAAGAAAAAAAAAGCTGATTGTGTGAGTATTTAAATAAACTTCTTTATTTATAAAATTAATCTTTCAAAACTGTAACATTAAAAGATAAAATTCAAGTTCTTAATAATCTTGACAAAATAATAAATAATACTTATAAAAAAAATTAGTAGCATATATAATATGGAATAAAAAACCATCCCAATTTTTTATATTTTAATGAAATTTATATTTATTTAAAACTCTGTGAC